GATTTATATCGTATTTAGAGATTTAGACCTATTTGATTTAATAACTATATACTAATGAATATCACAATTCATTTTTTGTGTATTCGAAATAAAGTCATAATAATATATAATAGTAGAATTACATGAAAAATATTCCAATATATGAGCTCACCTGAAAAAAATTTGTTGTTACATATAGTAGAAAGATCTACTTGCACCAATTGTTATAGTAAGAGTGAATGCAACTCAGAGAAAAATAAAAATGAGATTAAATCATATTTTATACGGTCCAATCAAATCACCTAATTGATTATTTTTGTGGACTGAACAAACCACCCAAGCCAAAGTACTGAGCCACCAGCAATGATGATTATGCCCTTTCAAATACACAACACACATAGTCAGAGGTCCTATCATCAAAAGGTGAAGACTCAAGCAAAATTTTTTGCATAACTATATATACCCGTAACAAGTAACCTGGGCGGTTGATCTATCAACACAATAGAATCTGGTGCAAGAAAATAAAACCGTATTATTTACCCAATTCATCTGCATGTTATAAAATTTTTAGATTAGATTGTAAATGATAATATCGCAATAGATTATATACTTATGTAAATTTTGAGGTGGATACATTTAAACTATTTCTTATCTTGTAGTTCGGTAGACTAATCACAGAAAGCTCGTTTGGTCTTCCTCTCCTTACAATAAGACAATTATAGTTGACGATCGCACCCTCTAAAATTGGGTTTTTATAAGCATAGAAAAAAATAAATTGCAGGGAGGTAATAGTTGGATCCTAGGCCTGCCTCGAAAGGCTATAACTACATCCGAGAAGACTATTTTATAAAGGATAAATAGATTGCATATTTTTTGCGAAACAAATGAGCACTTTCACCAAAGTACTGGGCTACTAAATGGTAATTATGAGCATGTTCAATCTCACAACACACATAGTCAGAGGCCCTATCGCTTAATATTAGAGACGAAATTTTTTGCTTAACTAAGCATACCCGCACAAATAGCTCCAGCAACTGTCTTATCAACACAAAAACTATCTAGTGTAGGAAAGTGTAATGTAATATCGGTTAAAAATTTCAGATAGAAAATGAAAAGATTTTATATACGTACTTAGTTGAGCCTCATACATGTAGAGCACAAGGAATGTTTCAAGTTGGTTATTGTTATGTGGCCTGTTATATTTGGTGTCGGTTATAAATATCCTTTTCTAGACAATAGTATGTTTTCAGGTGACGGTTAGTATAAATATTTGTATTAAAAATAAAATTTCGATGTTCTATTAGAAGTTGGATGTTCAATCAACATGTGATTTATCATTATACTGAAGATACATAAAATTTAAAATAAGGCTTAGATATTCTAAGAATAGGTAACTTCCCGTAAACATAAAATACACATTATTTTTAAATGCAAAGCATTCTCATTCCATGAGACACAACCACGTACGTACACGTATATTTCCCGACTACGTGTTGAATAGCATCCACAGACTATATTTACAAATATTTATACTATTTTATTTGGTCTGAAATAGCAATACGTATTAAAATTTTTGCCGATTTTTATTACGGTAATACAGGTCATGCGAAATTAGGTATGTGGTATCACTCTGCAGAATCATTTCTCACGATCGATTTTTTTTATTAACGAATATTATGAATAATGACTAGACCCTTTTCCTTACTTTATACGATCCCGCAATAAGAATGGGACTTAAAAAGGCTATAAAGGTAAAGAGTACAACGTTCTTAATCAGTAGTTTTATCAAAATTCATATGTCGCAAGAACTTGGAATCTCTGCCATCTCCGAGATCGTTAGATCTAAATCCACCTTAAGCGATTGACGATTATAAGGAGCTTAATTTCACCAGAAAAATAACAAAATAGAACAGTATTGGAACTTATAGCCAAGCAGAGTTGCTTTATGGAGAAAAAAACTGGCGTTAGACTTGGGCATCGTAATTTCTAATTGTGTATTTTCTTTCTGGCAGGTTCTCAAACCTAATGAATATGAGATATAAAAATAAGCAGATTTGCTCACAGGGTAAGTTAGCAATAACATTGCTCTTATATATTTTTTTGGCTTAACTTATTTAAAATTTACTCTCAAGGTCTGGTTAACATACATTGTTTGTTATATGTTTTTTTCGAAAGCGAATTTCTACTTACTATTTATTTTTATATTAGAAAGCGAAAATGGCAGATATTACTTTAAATTATCGTGTTAGCAGTGATTATTCAATTAATATTCCCCCAAATACAACAGTAGCCAACCTTAAAAATATGATTAGAAATAACGTTCTTTTTACCGATTTTGATCTCTATATAAATGATACTGCTCGAGAAGTAAGAAAATATATAGATCTGCAAAATATGGTTTCACAATATTTTGATATTAATAGACTGGAAAATCATATCCATATTCTTGTTTATAAAAGATAATTTTTTTTTTATATGTATTCACACTAAGTAATTGCAATATATTTTTTTATTTGTATATTATGTTGTCGTCATGGCAATATAATTTTTTATAATAATAAAAGGAGGGGGTCCGCTGGGCCCCCAATTTTTTATTTTTACGCGATAGTGTGAACAAGTATTGGTCACTATTTATACTGTTATTTGGATTTTTATTAATGTTAAACCATGATCTACTAATGATGTTTATCTAAGCCTGCAAAGCAATTAATAACTTCTTTTGATCAATACGAAAGGGGCAATTAAGAAAATAGTGATCATTTTTATCTAGACAGCTCCAGTCGCCCCATATACCTAAACGAGTATGTACTTCTTTGCATATCAGACATTTAGCTTCCGGATCTGTATATTTAAAAACATCTCGGTACTATGCATTCGATTTAGTATATGACAAGAAAGAGAAGCATTTATGTATTGTTTCACAGATTATACCTTTCTCTTCCAGAAACTTGGAAATCTTAATAATACAATCTTGTGAGATATAATTACTCTCTTCAATTTGTGAGGATTCAGAAGTTTCAGAGTTTATCCAAAGATCGAATCCAGTTTTATTCTTATACCTTTTATATAACCTAGAACGAATTTTATCCGTCAAAATATTTGGCAATTCTATTAATTTAGCTTCCCATTCCAAATATTCAGAAGTTAATATTTTATTAGCTTTTGCCTGTGTATTCATGTTCCCGTTTTATGTATATGACTGCATATCTTTTTAAATTAACAATAACCAACAAAAAAACAAATATGGCTCAGAAGACTTAAGCGAATTGTGCTAGTATAAGTTTAAAGTTCATGCTGTTACCTCAATTTCAATTCCATGCTGTTCACATTTAATATAGTAGGATCCAACTTCATATCTGCCTTCTATTCCATCTTTGTTATGATTTAACTTACATAATGGACATAATAATTCATCAGTAATTCCGTAATAATCTTCGTTTTCACTACTACCATCTCGATATAAATTAGGATATTGTTTTAATGTTTTATTACAGAAATAGGTATGATCACAAGTTGGATTAATCTGTTTTCTAGGTAGGGTCTTTGTCTCAGATGGTGACATGAATGACATACTCACCTCAGTTTTCAAGTTTGAAGAGGCATCAGATGCTTGAGGTTTAACTGACATACTAATCTTGGTTTCTGATAAAATCTTTGTTTTTGAGTCAGAAATTTGAGATTCAGTCGCTGGTAGATTACATATGTGTTCGCAATTGTTCACGCCAATCAATTTTTAAGACTTGGCAAGTTTATCTGTGTAAACTTTTATTATATTTTGAACTTGTGTATCTGTTAGCCTAGAAATAGCATCAGCACTATATGTGATTA